TGCGGACCAACTACAGGTCTGCGGACCAACTACAGGTCTCGGTGAAACAAGTGGCACTTGGGTCATTAACTTCTAATAATATTATCATTATGTATGTAAAAACACAGCAGACAAACAGTTTGATCTTGCGTAAACAGAGAAGAGCTAGCATATATGAAGTATCTGGGTGGTATAGAGCACCTCTAGCAACCTCAAGTGTTTAGTGGAGCTGAACCGAGCGCACAGGTATAGTATTTCCATTAACTGGTAAATGATTTAAAATTGCCCCATTCATTCTCAGTTTTGGATTTTCCAAATGAACATCAACGGGAAAACGAGAGATTCTTGAGGTGGACAACAAAGTATTTAATATGAAATAGGAAGGATTTCTGCACCGCTAAAATAATGGAAACTCACTGTCTTGTGTGACACAGGACATAGTGATTTATACCCACAACAGCACTTTGTTCTTGTGGAGAAAGAGTATAATGTTATGGTTCAGTATGAGACAATACACGAGACACTGTATACCCAGTATGTAGTAAATTCATAATTCAAAGTTGAAGATTAAGACACTTGGCCAACAGTTGGGTTTCATTATTGATGAACCGTTTCACCTACACATTAACCTTTGAACATAACCCAGAGGTTCATGTTCACAGGTGGGAATTTTGTTGTGCATAGAGAATTACTCAAGATGCAACCTTTTGGTGATAATACATAAGGTTCAGACTTTCATGGAGCTTTTGATTCGATTGTGAGTTACATGTAAGATGTCAGAAGTATTCATGCATTGTATCAGTGCATTGCATTATTCACCAAGAATTACATTAATGCTGACAAATACTGCACATGAGTGATGTCACGAAAGTGTTATTAGAATAGTGAATTTCAGAAGAGGCGGCAACAAATCTCACAGACGTAAGAAATTCATTTGTATTCTTGAAGAATTGAAAATAGAATCCAATGAGCTACCACGGCGTAAAATTTTCTGGAAGCCGAGTGCTGGAATATCTCTCCAGCATCTCTTTGCCTCTCGGGGATAAATTCTCTCCTTTCCTCAGAATGGACAACTTAGCAACTTAGTTATAGCTATATTAGTTGTGAGATAAAGACCTCCTTCGCTCCCGGGTTTTCCTGGTTGACATGACAACTCACTTGAATTTTGTGAAGCCGAGTTAACGAGACAGACAACAGAACACCCAAGCTCTGTACACTCAAGTTGTACATACTCAAGTTGTACACACTCAAGTTGTACACACTCAAGTTGTACACACTCAAGCTGCACACACTCAAGCTGTACACACTCAAGCTGTACACACTCAAGCTGTACACACTCAAGCTGTACACAAGCTGTACACACTCAAGCTCCGTACAAAAAGCTGAAGCTGTTCAGTTTGTTCATACTTCTCATCGTGAAATAAAGTCAGATGTTATAGAGACAGACTTTTCCAGCTTTTCGGGGAAAATTGAAGCTGTGTCTTTAGGGTTCGGAAAGAGATCTGAAGACTCTGAAATCGCTAATTATATAATAATCCCATTGAAGCTAGAATAGAGACCCAATTACCAGATATTCAGCTTGATCTTTGTAACCTACAGATTGATCCACCATAGTCAACGAATAAAAAATATGCTAAGGTAGTTTCTGGACGTAGGTTTGCAAACGTCATTTCCTCCAGACTAAGAGAATTTGCGCTGAACATCATTCAGTAGGTAGGTAGGTAGGTAGGTAGGTAGGTAGGTAGGTAGGTAGGTAGATTGGTCATCTGACTGAACACATTCAGTGTTCTGTAGTATTTATAAATGTAAAAAAATACAATTTCTGTGATAAAACACGTGAAGTATAAGATCTCAAAGAAAATGGGAAATAAAACACCGGACGCTTTCTTTCAGTCTCTGCAACCAACATTAACACTGACTGACATGGAGACTCTGGTACCTGAGAAACCTTTGTTGATAGACTTCTCGTTCGTACGTGAGGATGAAACTGGTGCTATTTCAATATAAATTTAGTATATACTACTCGTCTTTAACTTTTTCTGTTAGTATTTGTTCTATTTAGTTAAAAGTTTTGTCATAATTCACTAAGCTCGGAGGAATAAATTGACGTAGTCACTCTGCCATCAGCCATCACTAAGGAAAAAAATAATAGTCATCGAATTCTTTCTTTAACCTTGAAAACAATAAGTTGCTCTTTTACAGATCTATTATAATCATGGAGAGGATAGTAGTTATTCTTTTATTTTATTTTATTAACACATAGGCCGCTTCCCACCAAGGCAGGGTGGCCCGAAAAAGAAAAACTTTCATCATTATTCACTCCATCACTGTCTTGCCAGAGGCGTGCTTACACTACAGTGTCTGCTTATACTGCAGTTTAAGCAGACACTGCAGTGCAGACACTGTACTTCCCATCTCCAGGACTCAAGTCCAGCCTGTTGATTTCCCTGAATCCCTTCATAAATGTTACCCTGCTCACACTCCAACAGCACGTCAAGTCCTAAAAACCATTTGTTTCCATTCACACTTATCAAATACTCACGCATGCTTGCTGGAAGTCAAAACAAAACCTCCTTTACCCCCTCCAAATTTTCCTAGGCCGACCCCCTGCCCCGCCTTCCCTTCAGTACTGATTTATACACTCTCGAAGCCATTCTATTTTGTTACAACCTCTCTACATGTCCGAACCACCTCAACAACCTCTCCTCAGCCCTCTGGATAATAGTGTTGGTAATCCTGCACCTCTTCCTAATTTCCAAACTGCGAATTCTCTGGATTATATTCACACCACACATTACCCTCAGACATGACATCTCCACTGCCTCCAGCCTTCTCTTTTTGCAAAATTCACCATCCATACTTCACACCCATATAAGAGTGTTAGTATAACTATACTCTCATACATAGTAGGATAGTAGTAGTACCCAAAATTCCAAGCTTTATACTATTCCAATAGCCTAATTTAGGCTAGTGTCGCTAGTCTTGCATGGTCTTTCAATTTATGAAAGATAAAATTATTATAATGGTGTCCCGTTAACACATGATCTAGTGTCCATGTGGCCCTACATACTAGATGTTAAAGAAGCTGGACCATCCTGATATTCTCCATTATCTTAAATTTGAAAGTCGGGCCCCTTGCTTGAATACTGGAGCAACATTCGCTCTTTTTCCTCTTTGAGATAGGTGCTACATTTCAGATATTTGTCGAAGCCTTTCAGCTAGCTCAAAATCCACAGTCATTACAGTGGATTTTGAGCTAGCTGATAGGTTTCGTTGCTTTTGACGAGTTCAATGATTTCTTCATTTCTTCCCACATATAGTGGGATTTCTTCCTATTCAGCTTTGGACTAGCATATATTCTTGTCTGTCCGTGTGTTAGCTCTGATCCTACATGAACAGCTGGGAACAGGCTGTCCATTTCCTGAAAGACTGCCATGTTGTTCCTAGAAAATTTTCACCGTTTCTTTCTTAGCCTTATTGCTTGTCCCATTATGGTTGCCTCTCCTGTGATTCGACTAAATATCGGTTTTGGTTGTATTGAAGGCTTTGAGCCATGCCATTTTTATATGATCTCTCTCTCTGCTTCTATTCTCAAATCTTGCATAATTGTTTTAGGCGACTCATAGAGGAACGTAGAATACATATATTTACTGACAGATTGTAAAGAAGACACTAGTACTGCCCAACATTTAGTGTTACACACGTATTTTCATGACACTTGTACCTCAGTATCAGCCCTTCTATATTACACTATACTGTATTTTCTATAGTTCCTCTTCCATACCTTGGAGCTTCTCGGTTTCGCCACCGCAGCTTCTGGTGAGACACTGTTTCTCTCTCCTAATCCCAATGCCTTTCCGTTTTGAGTGTACGAAGTTCACTTTCGCCTCCCAGAAGTTCCCAGTCTTCTTCTTCTGTTGGGTTTCAGGGCCACTGACAGCATACGCCGTATCGAGCCCGGAAGTTCCCAGTCGTTATTGTTGTTGTTAGGGTTTATAGGGCCACTGACAGCTTAAGCCGTATCGAGCCCTGCCTTCCCTTGTCTGCACATGAAAATTACCCAGTTACTTAAGGTTCTTCATCGTCTCCTTCATTGTCTTGTCTTCCTGTTCTCTTTTCTTACGTACTACATTCATGAAGACTCGCAGATAAGTAGTACTTTATCCCGTAGTGAACTCAAGTGCACTAGTGTGGTATCCCTCTCTTGCAGTGCATTCCAGTACCCTTGTTTAGTACTAACTCGTGAGTGTGCTCCAGTGGACTTGTGTAATCCCTTATCTTGTAGTGCACTCAAGTGCACTTGTGTTATTGCCTCTCCTACAGTGTACTCCGGATGCACCTTGGTATATTCAAGAGTATTCAAAGTTACTTTGACGTTCTCTAAACCACAGTAGTGCACAGCAGTTTAAGCCTCTGTATATTGTTGTTGACAAATGCTGTGTAGTGTACTCAGAGGTATTCTAAAATATTCAGTGTACTCTAGAGGTCTGTAGTGTACTAAAATGTACTCAGTTTATTGAAGTGTTTGCCGGTTTACTATTGAGTATCTGTGTGAAATAATTTGTGTGTACTCAAGTACACTTCTTGGTACCTCTAAGAAATCTAATGTATTATATTGTAATCTAGCAAAGTAGTACAATGTACTCTAATGTTCCCTATTAGCTTAATGTGTAGTTCTGTATGATATAGTTGTACACTTAAATGCTTTAGTCTTTTCAAGGGTTCTCAAGTGTACCCATGTCTGTTGGAGGGTGATGAGGTACATCACAGAGTGTTCTGGTCACTAGTGATCTACTCAAGTCACTAGTGATCTACTCAAGTCACTAGTGATACACCATTGTTACTAGTGATGCACTCTAGTCACTAGTGATGCACTCTCGTCATTAGTGGTGCACTCTAGGCACAAGTGATGCACTCTGGTTACTAGTGATATACTCTAGTCACTAGTGATGTACTGTAGTCACTAGTGATGTACTCTGGCATAGTTCACTAGTACTAACCTCCCTGCTTCTTCCATACAGGTGGTACAAGGGGTCACGTGCACTAGGTGGCAGCAGTGGGATGTGGATGGTGGGCGGGTCACTAGTACTGGGTCGTGTGGGCGTGGATGACTCTGCCCAGTACACCTGTGTGGCCAATAACACAGCTGGTGAGACCAGGTACTCTGCCCACCTGCTAGTCACTCTTCCAATCTCTGTCCAGGTGAGTCACTCCCCTGGTCACCCTTCAAGTCACTGTTCAGGTGAGTCACCTTCCCCTGGTCACCCTTCAAGTCTCTGTTCAGGTGAGTCACCTTCCCCTCGTCACCCTTCAAGTCTCTGTCCAGGTGAGTCACCTTCCCCTGGTCAACTTCCAGGCCTCTGTCCAGGTGAGTCACTCCCCTGGTCACCCTTCCAGTCTCTGTCCAGGTGAGTCACCTTCCCCTGGTTGCCCTTTCAGTCTCTGTCCAGGTGAGTCACCTTCCCTTGGTCACCCTACCAGCCTCTGTCCAGGTGAGTCACCTTCCCCTGGTCACCCTTCCAGTCTCTGCCCAGGTGAGTCACCTTCCCCTGGTCACCCTTCCAGTCTCTGCCCAGGTGAGTCACCTTCCCCTGGTCACCCTTCCAGTCTCTGTCCAGGTGAGTCACCTTCCCCTGGTCACCCTTCCAGTCTCTGTCCAGGTGAGTCACCTTCCCCTGGTCACCCTTCCAGTCTCTGTCCAGGTGAGTCACCTTCCCCTGGTCACCCTTCCAGTCTCTGTCCAGGTGAATCACCTTCCCTGGTCACCCTTTCCCAGTCTCTGTCCAGGTGAGTCACCTTCCCCTGGTCACCCTTCCAGTCTCTGTCCAGGTGAGTCACTCCCCTGGTCACCCTTCCAGTCTCTGTCCAGGTGAGTCACCTTCCCCTGGTCACCCTTCCAGCCTCTGTCCAGGTGAGTCACCTCCCCTGGTCACCCTTCCAGCCTCTGTCCAGGTGAGTCACCTTCCCCTGGTCACCCTTCCAGTCTCTGTCCAGGTGAGTCACCTTCCCCTGGTCACCCTTCCATTCTCTGTCCAGGTGAGTCACCTTCCCCTGGTCACCCTTCCAGCCTCTGTCCAGGTGAGTCACTCCCCTGGTCACCCTTCCAGCCTCTGTCCAGGTGAGTCACCTTCCCCTGGTCACCCTTTCCAGCTCTGTCCAGGTGAGTCACTCCCTGGTCACCCTTCCAGCCTCTGTCCAGGTGAGTCACCTTCCCCTGGTCACCCTTCCAGTCTCTGTCCAGGTGAGTCACCTTCCCCTGGTCACCCTTCCATTCTCTGTCCAGGTGATCCCCTTTCCCCCTGGTCACCCTTCCAGCCTCTGTCCAGGTGAGTCACTCCCCTGGTCACCCTTCCAGCCTCTGTCCAGGTGAGTCACCTTCCCCTGGTCACCCTTCCAGTCTCTGTCCAGGTGAGTCACCTTCCCCTGGTCACCCTTCCATTCTCTGTCCAGGTGAGTCACCTTCCCCTGGTCACCCTTCCAGCCTCTGTCCAGGTGAGTCACTCCCCTGGTCACCCTTCCAGCCTCTGTCCAGGTGAGTCACCTTCCCCTGGTCACCCTTCCAGTCTCTGTCCAGATGAGTCACCTTCCCCTGGTCACCCTTCCAGTCTCTGTCCAGGTGAGTCACCTTCCCCTGGTAACCCCTAAGTCCCCCCATCCTATCATCATTTTGATGATGATTAATATTATTATTATTATAATTAATATTATTATTGGTATTTCTAAAATAATAATAACTATTATTATTATTATTATTATTATTATTATTATTATTATTATTATTTATTATTATTATTATTATTATTATTATTATTATTATTATTATTATTATTATTGTTGGTTTTTCGCCTTTACATTATTATTATAATTATTACTATTATTATCATACCTAAGTGGAGCGCTAAACCCTTGCGGATCCTCCAGAGTGCAGAGTGTATGAAGGCTCGATCCTCCTTTCGCAGAGGCAGCCTTGATGTTCCTGTCTGCAGTCCCATCAAGGGAAGGGTGGTGGCCTTGATGCTGCTGAAAAGCTCTTGGTCCAAGGGAGTGCTGCCCCTTTTCTTCCTCGGATTAATGCATGAAACGATGCAGGGGATGCAGGTATTGATGCATATGTGTCAGATGATGCATAAAAACATAAGGGAACAATGCAATAGGTCTACTAGCCCATGCCAGGCAGGTCCAAGTCTCCTACCGGCTTGAGCTAGTGACCCAACCTAGTCAGGTCAGGTCACATTCACTTATGGAAGGCGCAAGGCATCAGACCTACTAGCACAAGCTAGTCAGGTCCACCCACACCCTCTCATGTATTTATCTAACCTAATTTTAAAACTACACAACGTTTTAGCTTCTATGACGGTACTCGGGAGTTTGTTCCACTCATCCACAACTCATCCTTCCATTAATATTAAAAGTAATAGATTTGTGGTTATTGTGCCAAGCTCTTCAGGGATCTCTAAGTCATTTATTAGGGTCTCATAGTTTACCAAAACCACGTCAAGCAGGTTATTTCCTCGGGTTGGTTCTCATACAAACTGCTTCAAAACTCACTCCTCGGCTACTACAAGTCTTTAGACTAAATTCCCAGTCAAAGATTCTAGTCAATTTAGCTAAGAATAAAATCTCCTTGAATTAATGCATCATAATATCGTGAAGCCTTAATAATTTTATCCCAAAGAAGTTATCCTTGGAACCTTTCATAATTCAAGGGTTGGCATACCAAACTTAATATCAACCTTTAATGTCCTAAATTCTATCCAGACATACTACGTGTGTTTTCTCAGTATTAACTTTCATTTTCATGCAGCAGTTTAAGTTATCTCAGACTCCCAATCCACCTCCTCATCCACTTCCCTATCCACCTCCTCATCCACCTCCCCATCCATCAACCTCCCAATTAGTTCCATAACGTGAAGCAACTTAAAACCCATTCGCACTTTATTCGGCAGGAATCTCCCGAATCTTAAAATTAAGCTACAGTTTGTTTCCTCCACATGCAACCCATTTCAACTCATTTACGTTGTTTCAAGTGTTTCTTATTATTATAATAAAAAAAGCGCTAAACCACAAGGGCTATACAGCTTTCAAGTGCTATGATTAGTTGCTTAATATACGCAAACAAAATTTTTCTACCGTATCCTCTCCCTGTTTATCTTTGCCCTTCCACTGTTTGTCATCTTCACCTAATATTTCTGAATGAATTTATTTATCATTGCCTTGTTTAATATTAATTATCAGGTTTATTTTGTTCCCTCGATAAACTTGCTAACTTATTCTGCTGGAAGTCCGATACACTGTGGTAAGTCACTTCGACTGAATTATGTTACATGTACTGATGCAGGTGTTACATGTACTGATGCAGGTGTTACATGTACTGATGCAGGTGTTACATGTACTGATGCAGGTGTTACATGTACTGATGCAGGTGTTACAGATGTTGATGCTGACTTGCGAGATTTTATGCAGGCGTTTCAAGTGTTGACGCAACTTCTGCATGTGTTGATGCAGGAGTTACAGGTGTTAACGCAGGAGTTACAGGTGTTACCGTAGATGATACAGGTGTTAATGCGAACTACTATATGTGTTGACGCAGGAGTTGATGCAGGTGTCACATGTGTTACAGGTGACACCGCGGGAGGTGCAGGTAGACGCTGGGGGTCGACTGGAGCTCAGGTGTCACGTCTCGGGTGAACCCGTCGACACCGTCACCTGGTATAAGGACGGCACCGTGCTAAGGTGAGTCACCTGATCCCTTCCCACTGGTCATAAGTTCAGGTTATAGCTAAACCCCCCTCCCCTCCCCTCCCCTCCCACAGTCAGGGGTCAGGTCACTGCTAAACCTCCTCCCCTCCCACAGGTCAGGGGTTAGGTCTCTGCTAAAGCCAACTCCCACAGGTCTGGGGTCAAGTCACTGCTAAACACCCTCCACTCCCACAGGTCAGGGGGTCGGGTCACCATCAGACCCAGAGAGACGCTGCACGTTTCGCCCATACACGCCTCCGACGCTGGTATCTACCAGTGTGCTGCCACATACGCCCAAGACTACGCCCACGCCCACGCCTACGTCACCCTGGGAGGTAGGTCATCACTCACGCCCACTTATGTAATCGCACTGAGAGAGTGAGTGTGAGAGAGAGAGAGAGAGAGAGAGAGAGAGAGAGAGAGAGAGAGAGAGAAGAGAGAGAGAGAGAGAGAGAGAGAGAGAGAGAGAGAGAGAGAGAGAGAGAGAGAGAGGGACAGAGAGACAGAGAGAGAGAGACATTCAATCCCCCCCAAAAAATGAGAGGGAGAGTTGAAAGGCAATCTGAGGCAGGTGAGGAGCGAGCTCAGTAGCTGGAGCAGGTAAAAACAGAGAGACGAGCTGGGGGCAAGAAGACGATGGAGAAACTCCTCAGCACTTTAAAGGATGGGCTTAAAGTGTCACACCTGAGAAAAACATTGCTCTCCCAGGTAAAGTTAGAACTTGCTTTCTCTTCTCACTCTCTCCCTCTCTCTCTCAGCTGAAGGAGAGAGAGAGAGAAAGAGAGAAAGAGGTGGAGCAAACTGCTCTCCTGGGTGACATCAGGAATAGATGGAACGTTGGTTAGGTTGGGGGAAGTGTGGATAGAAGAGGAATGGGTGAAGGGAGGCAGAGATAACAATGGACAGAAGAGGAACAGGCAAGGGGACTTGATGGAAGAGATGTTGGTGATAGGAAAAACATCAGTTCTTAAAAGAAATACAGGGAAGAAATGGGAAGGAAGAGATGTTTGTGTATTAATGAGTAACGCACACACACACACACACACACACACACACACAGCCACAGAGTAGTCAGTAAGTGGAATAGTTTGGGAAGCGATGTAGTGGAGGCAGGATCCATACATAGCTTTAAGCAGAGGTATGATAAAGCTCACGGCTCAGGGAGAGTGACCTAGTAGCGATCAGTGAAGAGGCGGGGCCAGGAGCTCGGACTCGACCCCCGCAACCTCAACTAGGTGAGTACAACTAGGTGAGTACACACACACACACACACACATACATACACACACACACACACACACACACACACACACACACACACACACACACACACACACACACACACACACACACACACACACACACACAGAGGAGACACAGAAACAAAGGGTCACTCATGAAAGTTGAAGTCTCAGATGAGTCACAGGGATGTTAGGAAGCATTTCTTCAGTCATAGAGTGGTCAGGAAGTGGAATAGTCTGACAAGTGACGTAGTGGAGACAGGAACCATACATAGTTTTAAGATGAGGTTTGATAAAGCTCATGGAACAAGGAGAGAGTGAACGTAGTAGCCACCAGCGAACAGGAGGGGCCAGGAGCTGTGAATCAACGCCTGCATCCACAAATAGGTGGGTACACACAGGTCTTCTTACCGCCCAAGACAATGCAGTCTTCCCACTAATCTCTCTTACCACATTTTTTTTTTACTTTATCACAGAACTCAATCAAGACTTAAAGAGTGAATTTACAATTTCCATTAAACTGTTTTTTTTCCGGGTCTGGTCTTCATCTTCTCCATTACCCTACCGTAGTATGCATATCAATAACACTGATTCGGAGTTTAAGTTTACCTGACTGTCCTCTTAAATTCTGTGACTAAGCCTCGCGTATCGCGCATCACTGGAAGTTGCTTTGCATCAACTGACTGCAGGTTTTAGTTAGTAGTACACGCAGTATCTCTCTCTCTCTCTTGCAGAACCTGTTGAAAGGTAAAGTTAGGTCCCATTTCCTTCACATTCTCTAGTTTACTCTCTGAGTTTCTAAACTACTGTTATGTGTTGTGTCTGGTACTAGCTGAGACACCCTTCCTCTATGGCTTTCTTGTGTTATTCCTACTTCCTGCAAGAACACCTCCTTAAATCGTTTGTTAATTTCTTGCAGCCTTTTTGGTAATTTCTTGTCAGTTCTATACCTTCCTTCTTGTCTTAAATACCCAGCCTTTACTGCAGTCTTCCTCCTGATGTGACTATACAGCATTTTTGGTTCAGAACTTTCGATGTTGTCATTCTCAGATTGACGTTCGAACTCTTTTTTTATTCTGGTTTCTCTGCTTTGTCTTCTACTTTTGGATGCGCTTTACTTACTATAGGTTTCCCGTGATCCGCACTCTTAGCTTGTTCTCCTCTGCATCTCTACGTGGACCAGGAGTCTCTCTATCTTACTATTACTTCTTCTACTTCTAGATACCAAGTTCTCTTCTGTCTCCCACCAATTTTCAACTGAATACTCAATCATCTCATTCATTGCCATTTGCTTTATTTCCTTTTCCCACTTTATTACAGTTAAGAAATGTCTAATTTTCTGGAATTTGGTTTATCCCTGGCCCCTCTTCCCTGCTTCGCTTGTCTTCAAATTTATTGTTACAAGGATGTGCTCAAATGTACATGAATGGTATACATTACAGACAAGATGGAGAATTAGACAGATGTGCAGCATCTGGGTATCTTTATCTGTAGACATTTCGACATCCAGTGGCTTTATCAGTACAGTCTTTCCATTATGTCCTTGAATTTGTGTTGATAAAGCCACGGGATGGCGAAACGTCTACAAATAAAGATACCCAGATGTTGTAAGTGTGTCTAATTCTTCAAGTTCAATCTTATTGGTCTATCATCACCTCTCTCTCTCTCTCTCTCTCTCTCTCCTCTCTCTCTCTCTCTCTCTCTCTGGTTGTGTTCTTAACAAAATGACACGAGGGTTTCCATCGTCATCTCCAGTATGTTATTACTTAACATTGCTAATCCTCTGATCTATTTCCTTGTTATTAAAATGTCCCACGATCTCCAAATTTACTAGGGTCATATTTGCTCTCCTTTTGTGTGTGTATGTGTGTGTGTGTGTGTGTGTGTGTGTGTGTGTGTGTGTGTGTGTGTGTGTGTGTGTGTGTGTGTGTGTGTGTGTGTGTGATGTAGTACAGAAATTTCGCCTGTAAACTGATATTGATTATTTTCTAGTACCTTTTTTTTCCCGTTCCTCACACCAGCTGCGGCGCCCCAGCTGGTGTACCGCTTCATCGAGCAGACACTGCAGCCTGGTCCAGCTGTCTCCCTCAAGTGCATAGCTACTGGCACTCCCACACCCCACATTACCTGGCTTCTGGATGGCTTCTCCCTTCCCCCCTCTCACAGGTGAGTGACACTCTCCCCCTCCCACTAGACAGTGGCACCCCTTTATCCATTCCACATTTAGAGGCACCCCCATCTCCACTGAGGAGCACTGGCACCCTCTTCTCCCACTGGGGAATGCTGGCACCCCATCTTCACTGGAGAGTGCTGGCACCCCAACCTCCCATTTTGAAGACGTGGCATCCCTACTTCCCACTGGGGTGAGGGGGAACCCCCCTCCCCAAGTGGGACTTCGTAGCACCTCATACTTTCCTTCCCCAAGTGAATCTTTACATTCTCTCCTCATAGTGCCTGGGTTGTCTTTCTTCTTTCTTCTTCTTCTTCTTCTTCTTCTCCTTCTTCTTCTTCTTCTTCTTCTTCTTCTTCTTCTTCTTCTTCTTCTTCTTCATTATTATTCATATTATTATATGATGGTTGGAGTTAAACACACTTGTGGATGGTAACACTTACATTAGCAGAGTGTGAAAGGGGATGCCCAGCCTTGCCGTGTTGCCTTGTGGTAGACCTGAGGGTGGAGTGAGGAGACGGCCGCGAGCGCAGCGCTCACATGCGGCATCACGTGACGTCACACAAGCTTGTCACTGAACCTAGCAAGGGGTCAACTATGTAAAATATATGGATGGTACTATGATACTCAGAAAATATATACATATACAAGGGATCAGCAACTATGCTGACATTATTATTATTATTATGATTATTATTATTATTATTATTATTATTATTTTTCTTTATTATATTATATCCCTAAGTTAGGAATTCAAACAAACTCTCAGTGTATATGCAAAGCATTAAGTGTATATACTCAGCACTCAGTGTATATACACACCTCTCGAATATATATATATATATATATATATATATATATATTATATATATATATATATATATATATATATATATATATTATATATATATATATATATCCCTCTCAGTGTATAAGTCTTGCCGAATAGGTATAATTGGTCAATTAGCAAGAACTCATTTAAAATTAAGTCCTTTCTAAAATTTTCTCTTATGCGTTTAAAGATATATTTTTTTCATTTATGTTAATGTAAAAATTAATAATTTTATACCAAAAGAACCTTAGAAAACTTACTTAACCTTATTATAACAAGCGCAATTTAATTTAGCTTGACCCAACTAAATATATTTTAGATAAGTTTGCAATAATTTAATAATAAACAAACACAATGAAATATTTTTTTCTCGTTAGGGTCAGAATGATTTTTGCGAAATTATTACATACATAAATTTTCCATTGCCTATTAGGCACGATATATACATTCGTCTCGGTGTATATACTGACTCGAGAGATAGCGAGTGATTCTGCGAGAAAAAGTTCAGTTTCAATGTTTAAATTATCCATCATCAGGTACAATTTTAGTGTTTGTCCATTGCCTAAACTCTTAAAAAAAGAAATAAATAAAAATTTGCGCTGAATTATATTTACATATTAACGATCTAATTTATAAATTCAAGCTTTAACACGCCACCCTGGTAGCCTGCCAAAATTCGAGACGCCCTAAACCACTGAACCATCACTGTTACATACAACAGTGCAGTTGTCATTTGCCTATAACCACTTGTTCGTGGATGCAATAATACGAAAACTGCTTGTGTAACTGGTATTCCAAAAGAGAGGAAAATGAAACAGTCCTTAGCTTGCCACAGCCACGTGTGTCCGCAACAGGAGTGACATGTCTACTGCTACTAGGGACCTGACAATGCAATTATTTGCATATATATATATATATATATATATATATATATATATATATATATATATATATATATATATATATATATATATATATATATATATACAAACACTGATCTCTGGCTGAACGAGACTCGAACCTTGCATTGTTAATATCTCTAGTAAGGCTGATGCATGCAGGAGATGAGATGAAAAGCTATAAGCCTTCTCCCTGAAAGCTGGCTGCCTTGGATCAAAGTCTAGCGCAAGCTGAACTCCAAGGTATTGGTCCAGTGTGGGTAGATTGGTAAAGCACTGCGTACCTTGTTCCAAGGTTCGTAGATTCGAGTCTCCTTCAGCCAGAGATCAGTGTTTGTGTATATTTCGCCTGCTCTTGCGAATTCGAATAGACAGATAGATAGATGGATAGATGTATCGTGGCGAATAGGTAAAATGTGCGATTTTGGCTTAAATAGCCCGCTCTTCTTGCCGAATAAGGCAGACGAAAATTTGTGCATGCAGTAATTTCGGAAAAAATCATTCTGAAGCTAACGAAAAAAAATGTTTCATTGTGTTTGTTTATTATTAAGTAGTTTATACAGGAGAAGGAGCTACTAGCCTATTGCTCCTCGCATTTAGTAGCCTCGTACGACACGCATGGCTTACAGAGGAAGAATCCTGTTCCACTTCCCAATAGAGATAAACAGAAATAAAGAAGAGCAAGAACTAGGAAGAAAGTAGAAGAAAACCCAGGGGGGTTAGCATATATATGCTTGTACATGCAAGTGTTGTGTGACCAAAGTGTAAGTAGAAGTAGGAAGATATATCTGCAGCGTTGTATGTTTATGAGAAAGAAAAAGACACCAGCAATCCTACCATCATGCAAAACAATTACAGGCTTGTGTTTCACACTCATTTGGTAGAACGGTAGTACCTCGCTGGGTGGTTGCTGTCTACCAACCTACTGCCACAGGATGGTAGTACCTCGCTGGGTGGTTGCTGTCTACCAACCTACTGCCTAATCCAGCTAAATATATCTTAGATAAGTTTACAATAACTTAAAACAAGGAAAAGAAAAACTTTTTTAAATTTGCGATGTTTGAATGTGTGTGGATGTAGTGCGGATGATAAGAAAGAAATGGTTGCTAATGCTATGAATGAAAATGTCCTGGCCCTAAGGGAAACAAAGCTGAGAACAGGGTAGGGGAGTTTCGGTGGGAAGAAATAAATGGAATTAAGTCAGGAGTATCTGAGAGACTTAGAGCTATGGAAGGGGTAGCAATAATGTTCAGTGATCGGTTATGGTGAGAGAAGAGGGAATATAAATGTATAAATTCAAGGATTATGTGGATTAAAATAAAAGTCGGATGTGAAAAGTGGGTTATAATAAGTGTATATGCACGTGGAGAAGAGAAGCGTGTAGAGGAGCGAGAGAGATTTAGGGAGATGTTAAGACAAGTGTGTAGGAACTTTAGAGCCAAGTGAGACAGTAATTGTGGTACGGGACCTAAATGCTAAAGTAAGAGTAGCGCTTAGAGAGGGTGTGGTAGGTAAGTTTGGGGTGCCAGGTGTAAGTGATAATGGAGAGCATTTGGCTGAACTTTGTATAAAAAAGGGGTTTGGTTATAGATAACATATTTTAAGAAAAAGAGGATAAATAAGTATACAAGATATGATGTAGGGCGTAATGGCAGTAGTTTGTTTGATTACGTATTGGTAGATAAAAGACTGAAAGGTAGACTTCAGGATGTACATGTTTATAGAGGGGCCACAGATATATCAGATCACTTTTAAGTTGTAGCTACAGTGAGAGTAAAAGGTAGATGGGATACAAGGAAATGGACGCATCAAATAAGAGTGAAGGTTTATAAACTAAAGGAGGCATTTAGCGTAAGATATAAACAACTGATGGAGAAAAGATGGGCTAGTGAGAGTATAGGCAATGGGGCAGGAGATGTATAGGGTAAGTTTGAGTGTTCAGCAGAAGTTTGTGGCTACAGGAAAGTGAGTGCGGGAGGGAAGAAGAGCGATTGGAGGAATGATGTAAAGAGAGGAGTAAAAGAGCAAAACTTAGCGTATGAGAGAATGGTGAAGCAATGTAAAAAGAGAGCAAATGAGAGAGTGGGTGAGATGGTATCAACAAATTTTTGTTGAAAATAAGAAAAAGTTTTAGAGTGAGATTAATAAGTAGAGAAAGCCTGGGGAAAGAATCGATTTGTTAGTTAAAAATAGGAGAGAAGAGTTATTAAATGGAAAGTTAGAGGTATCGGTAAGATGGAGGGAATATTTTGAGGAATTGTTAAATGTTGATGAAGATAGGGAAGCTGTGATTTCGTGTATAGGTCATGGTGGAATAACATCTTTAGGAGTGATGAGGAACCAGTTGTGAGTGTGGGGGAAGTGCGTGGGGCAGTGGGTAGAATGAGAGGGGGTACAGCAGCTGGGATTGATGGAATAAAGACAGAAATGCTAAAAGCAAGTGGGGATATAGTTTTGGAGTGGTTAGTGCATTTATTTAATAAATGTATGGAAGAGGGTAAGGTACCTAGGGATTGGCAGAGAGCATGCATAGTTCCTTTGTATAAAGGTAAAGGGGACAAAAGAGAATGTAAAAATTATAAGGGAATAAGTCTGTTGAGTATACATAGTAAAGTGTATGTGTTATTGCTGAAATAATTAAGAGTAAGATGGAGAGTTGGATAGCAGATGAACAAAGAGGCTTTAGGAAAGGTAGGGGGTGTGTGGACCAGGTGTTTGCAGTGAAACATATAGGTGAACATTATTTAGATAAGGGTAAAATAGTTTTTGTGGCATTTATGGATTTGGAAAAGGTGTGTGATAGGGTGCATAGGAGGGCAATGTGGCAGATGTTGCAAATGTATGGAAGAGGTAGGTTACTGAAAGCGGTGAAAAGTTTTTACTAGGATAGTGAGGCTCAGGTTAGAGTAAGTAGGCGAGAGGGAGATTATTTTCCAGTAAAAGTAGACCTTAGACAAGGATGTGTGATATCACCATGGCTGTTCAGTATATTTATAGATGGAGTTGTAAGAGAAGTGAATGCTCGGGTGTTGGCAAGAGGTGTGGGGTTAAAAAATAAAGAATCTAGCACAAAATGGGAGTTGTGACAGTTGCTCTTTGGTGATGACACTGTGCTTTAGGGAGATTCTGAAGAGAAACTGGAGAGGTTGGTGGATGAGTTTTGGTAGAGTATGCAAGAGAAGGAAATTAAAGGGAAAATATGGAAGAGTAAGGTGATGAGGATATCCAAAAACAACTTAGGTAATGGAAGATTGGGGGGAGAGAA